GATGTTTTTTCTGGCGTTGTTCTTTCCATCATGTTAATTTTCTCCTATATCTGCACTTTTTTCAGTGGTCTCTGCTCTCAATCCCTTTCTTTTTTCTACAGCAGCAGATCGATCGCTTTGGCCAAAGGACTTCTTTTTGGTTACACGCATTAAATGTATTCAAGTGATAACGTCTTTTATCATTCAACTGCACTGGGAACAAATATCGCGCGAATCGAGCAAAGTATTCAAACAGTTGGTTATTTTGTACTGTAAAAAAACCTATTTAGCCGGTTGGTTACACCTGCTGCACCTCTCTAACTGCTTCGCTTTTCCCGCCTTGTAAGAGATGCGGGTGAAATATGGTAGTTGGATAATAAATTGCTCAATAAAACATGTTGGTGTGCAATATCGCTGAGCATTTTTACTCGTTGTTTTATTTCAGTTGATTCGGCCGGCGGGCTCGTCTAAAATACAGCGCAGCTCGAAAAATTCACAGCTATACTATACACCAAAACGTTCCGTAAAATATATTTATTGTACAGCATATGAACAATAGTGAATTCGGCATCCGACGGGCTCAGTAAACCGGCCGCAAATTTGCAAAACAGTTTTTTAGACCCTGTCCACACCAATACGTTTTGGAGATGCTCCGTTTCCGTATTATCAAAAACGCATCGTTTCCTTTGCGTCCACGCCAGCGTTTTCATGGCGTTTTTGACTGTCCCCAGTGCGCATACATGACCTGATGTGACGCATTCGTCACTCTGTGCATGCCTGAACGAGCGGAGCCCGCAGTGTTTGTGTCATTTCGCGCTTCCCACATAAGTGAAATCACTAAAGTGGTGATGTCAACCAAGTTTAAAGCTATTTGATTTAAATTCAGGCAATCTGTTGACAGTGGAAGGAGAATCGAAACGGACTTGAATCATCTAATATTTCTACCTTAAGCTCTCCCTCCACTGATGGTACAGCAAATGCTGAGTTGGCAAATTCTGAGGCGATGCCAACCAGTGAGCACTGCAGTCTGTTCCCGCATGCATCTATTGATAACGATAGGAAGTTCTGCAAGATTTATGTTAAGCGGTTGTCGTAACGCACCAGACCATCCCTTTAAACGGCCAAATATCTATTCTTGCTCCACACAAGTAGATACCAAAATATTGTTCTTGGACAGTACTGGCATACTCTTTCATCCAAAAGGACATGAGTGGGTAGGCAGGATCTCCAAGTCAAAAGACTGGGATGGGGTCTTCATCTTTTATTATTTCCTTTGGCTTGGAGGGAATCCTTTACCTTTCAAATAATAATTTATCAAAAAACAAACAAACAGCCTCACATCATGCACACTTCCAAGCCATTTTACAATGACATCAATAGCTGGTAACGGTAGTCACACACTGCTTGGACATTTAAAATTATAATGCTGTTTTCGGTTTATGTACATCTCCATAGTCTGTTATATTCATTGCGGGTTGTTTGATCTCAATGTGAGTCCCATCTATTGCCCCAAGACATTGTAGAATAACATAAGCTTTTTCAAATTGATCCCCCAGTTCCTTTACCTCATTCTCTGTGAAAGGAAGTTTTATGTTCACTGGGCCTAGATGCCAAATTACTGCAGTGTTACCTCCCCGACAATTAACCCAACTCGGTGCTGTATTCATTGAACGCAAATTCTTGTGCTTGAAATGAAGTATCTTTCAACTCTCTTCGTTTCGCATTTTCTCTCTCCTTTCGGCATTGAAGTTGAAGATCTATTAGCTTGTCCGATGGACACAGTTCCTCGCATATTTGACATGGTAAAGCTATTTTGATCGTTTGACGTTCCCTCTGTTTTGACGAAAACTTTTGTCACGTTATCCATTCTTGTTTCTGAGAGATCATTTACGCCACTTGATCATTTTACATCGCAAATCTCGCTGTTGTAATTGAGGGAAATGCTCCATCAATATTTTCCAGCACTATAACTGATCTTTTAGCGATTAAACTTCTGATCCGCTTTTCTTTGTCAGTCATTTCAGTTCTTCTAATTTTAATATATTAGACGGATTTCTTGTTCAAATATACACGGGGCTCGGATTGCTTTGTGAAATAATATACCGGTACTGTTCTCCTTGTAAATCGGTTAAATTTCTCTCTTATCTCTAAACCCCATCTAAAGCAAATGCTGAGATTTTCCTACAATGAGAGTTGTTTATTTGATGACTTTGTCAGTCGTCTGCGTTATAGTTAAATTTGGCACCTGCATTGACCTCTTCGCTTTTTCATGCTTCCAACTGCTTCACTCACGCTTTGTACTTTAACCAAAACGGTCCAAATCAGCATAGTTGACTGTACTCCAAGTCCAAGTCCGGCTAAACACTTTAAAAACGGAATCTAAGTTGAAAAATTGGTATGCTGGCATCAAAGTCATAAAACCTTTAAAAAACAGATTACATTTATCGCGCGAAAATACAGGAGACCTTAGTAACAATTGTTACGGTATAATCTCACCGACAAACAAAAACACTACGATCCCACAAACTCAACCACTCTATTAAACAGCGAGTAATGTTCTTAACAAGGAGCGACTTCTAAAAACAGGACAATGCTTGTCGTTAATAAACTTAACTAGGCCCACACAGTCTATATCCTAGCACACCACTGACATAATCTCACTGCTGTCTCCAAAGTTCCTGAAAATAAGCAGCCTTCTGCAGTAACTCTCTCTCGGTATAACTTTCAAAACAGTCGTCGCTCCGACAACAATAACTACTCTTACTACTATATAAGTTAGTCTTTATATATCTTTATATATCACAAAGTGTTCTGCAACATTCCAGAGAGCTTACATAAGATCTGTTCTACCAGTATTACGTAATAAATTCGTGACTTGATAAAATTTTCTGGAAAGTTCTATGGTATGCAAGTCAGCATGACTCAGCAGTCTTGAGATTTCTAGAAGCTTCCATTTACAACAATTACTCATTACACAATCCCGCCCAGAACTGATCAGTAAAAATTCCGTGACTCCGTCTTAACTGAGTGGGTGGAGTTTCCGGCCTCCTTAACGTCGATATTAGGGGCTCGATGGAATTCGACCGATGCTTCGCCTTCTACGGTCTCCTTCGCTTCAGAGCGCATACAGACTATTATCAGCTACGCAGGTTACCACCAACTGTACAGGCTAACACATTATACTGATGTACAGTTTTGACATCATACGTTTCAATAACCCTTGCACCTCTATCATGCTACTCCTGTAGCTGGTTTTTAGCAGTACGTTGCAAAATTACTAATTTGTTTCTCCCGATAATGTGTTTATCATTCGGTTTTGAGGTTAAGAGTTTACATAACTTTTCCCTGTTTCAGTAAACTGATTTGAGGTCAGTTATATGAGATATGATTGATAAGTTTATCGCGGTTTTGTTCATTGAGAAGATTTTGCCAAATTAGACAAAAGGTTATCGGAAATGCGTTTGAAATTAATACTATTCTGCCAAGGACCACAGGGTTGATCATTCTTATTGAAACCCTTATCTTCAATCAGTTTGTTTTCACAATTGATTGGACCTTTGCCTATAAACGCAAACCTTAGTGTATGTGGAGGAGCGAGAGTCACTGAATAAGCCAGAAATACTATTTTTTATTCAAAAAATATTTAATTTCCTTGGTGGGCTCTACTTTAGAGGCTTGCTTCAATTTTGCCTCAGGAACTGAACCGTCATGGATATTGAGCCACTTAACGCTGCTTGCTTCATATTGATGGTTCTTGTAACGTGCTGTATTATCGAACCCCTCCATATGGTAAGAAACATGCAGGCACCAGGAAATCAAGGACCTTTTACGGAACCCACAAGAACCATTCATGATCAGAGTGTCTTAGGAACAGCCAGGGAACCCACTGCTTGTCGTAGCGGAGCTGTGGAAAGGACGGAACAACACGGAAATACAACTCCTTGCAGTGTAACAGCAAGAAGACGACATCCACAAGAATACGACGAGCATTTTTCATAACAAAGTAAGACAATTGTATGATAATGCCTTTTATATTTTTTATCATCGTACTTTCTGTCATGTTCTTCTTCTCTTATATATTTGCACTTATTTTAGTGGACGCGGAACTGCCTGTTTTATGGCTTCTTTTACGGTTGGGAATAAAAGCAAATCTCTCCTCGGTCACGCGCGCTAAATGTGTGTGACTTTTTCAGAATAACTGATAACGCATTTAAACAATTCAGCATCCGATGGTCTCAGTGCAACAATTAGACATAGGAAGTTTTTTGGCCTTTTTTAAAATATGAAAGACTGGAAAAGTGCATTGTGGCATTTTAAACAGATTTTACTCTTTCTTTCACCAGGTAATTCTAAGTAGCTACTGTGTTCGTGTGCGTGACGGCGTTATCCTGAGTATAAAACGACACTACTGTGGGACCACAACAACAAACTTTGTTTTTTTGTTTGAGTGAGTGCGCTGATTCGATAGTAAGCTAGAAACTACCTGGCAACAAGTCTTCAATAGTTTTAGCTTTAGTGAGCAAGCTCTCTAGTCACCGATACGATCCTTCGGAATGTGCAATTTTTTGTCACCTCTATATTATGTCATAAAATTTAAAGAAATATGTGGACACTTGTAATCATTCCAAATTAGAATAGTTGTAATGCGCACCTTTTTTGAGAAGCCCATTAACGAAATTATCTGATGGGCTCCAGATCTTTTGTCTACTTTTGTCATGGTAAGTAGCTCGGTTGGAAATGATTCATTCTGGAATACTACATGTTGCAAAATAACTGAGATACAATTTTTTCTATTTTGACTAACTTTTTCAAAAGCACGGTAAGAAAAAAATTATACCTACACTCGAAGTTATGATACATGATCAGCTTTGTCAATCAAGTTCGCGACCACATATTCCTCATCATTTTAAATGGCCATCATCGATCTTCCAGGTCGTGGAAAACGTTTGCCATGAGATCATAAGGGGGTCCTTCCATTGTAAAATCCGCAAAAGTGAAGGGGTCATCTTCTCTCCCCTTGTTCAAAATATTCTCATGAAGTCTCGAGAACCGGAAGTGAGGTAGATCCCTCCATTTTCGGAGGCTGAACCAGAACCCTGAACGCCTTCTCTCTCTTGGATACATTGTTCCTGGTGTTCCATCAATTTATCAGATGGACGCAGTTCGTCACAGATTTCACAAAGCAGAGAAACAGTGCTGTTGTCTTCACTTTCGGTTTCGATATTGTCATGCGTTCGCACTATTTCACGAAACACACCATCGATATCTTCCACAACAAGAGGGATTTGAGAATCTTCTGTTTCCCCCAGACGCTGGCATTCACATTGATGAGCATCAAGTTCATCAAGCCACAACTGATCATTTAGCGATTAAACTTCTGATCCGCTTTTCATTGTCAGTCATTCCAAGCCTTCTAATGTTAATATATTAGTTACATTCCTTTTTCAAATACACACGAGGCTCAGATTGCTTTGTGAAATCGATAATATGTATTATTCTTCTTGTAAACCGATTAAATTTCTCTCTTATCTCTGAACTACATCTAAAGCAAATGCTGAGATTTTTCCTACAATAAGAGTTGTTTATTCTAGATCATTGCAAGGGTGAACTTCCTCGGGCGTCTGCGTGAAAGTTAAATTTGGCACCCGCATTGACCTCTTTACTTTTTCATGCATCCGGCTGCTTGTACTTTAACAAAAGCGGCCCGCCCCGCAAGATATAATTACGAAAAACAATAAATCGTATTTCGGGTTAAAATCAGCGTAGTTGACCGTAATCCAAGTCAAAGCCCAGCTAAACATTTAAAAAGCGGAATCTAAGTTAAAAAATCTGTATGTTGGCATCAAACTCATAAATGCAGGAGACCTGAGAAACAATCACGCCCAGAACTGATCAATAAAAAGTCCGTGACTCCGCCTGAAGTGAAACTTGAATTAATGTTTAACCTCCGCCCACAGTTCCAAAAGCTGAAAGTGACAGCGATAGCGATCAGTCTTGCATATCATTACAGTGTATTTGTGTTCCAAACAAATACAGTTGTGCGTTGAACAAAATTTAACCTCTAGCCTCCTTAACGTCGATAACTACGCAGCTTGCGGTTTTTTGGAGCCTGATGATCTTGGAGCGATGCCAGGCCTCCAAACGCTCTGCCTTTTACGGGTCTTCTACGCTTCAGAGAGCACACAAACTTTTACCAGCTACGCAGCCTACCACCAACTATGCAGGCTAATGCTGATATACAGTTTTGACATAATTCGTTCTAATAACCCTTGCACCTCTATCATGCTACTCCTGTAGATAGATTTTAGCTGTACGTTGCAAAATTACTAATCTGTTTCTACCGATGATGTTTATCATTCTGTTTTAAGGTTAAGTAGAGCGGCCTATAAGAACAGTATAAGGAATCTTTAGTATACCAGTTAAGGTAATCTTATTTCCTGAAGAACGGACGGTAGGAAACCTCAGGAGATGATCATTTTTAGAATTAGGAATGTTTAGTTTATCATATACTATGTGTATAACATATTTCGTTTATCATATACTGTGCATGACCGCAGCGGGCGATCATTCTTTTTAAACCCTCCTCTTCCATCAGTTCGCTACCACAATCGATTAGGCCCGTACTTATAAACACAAACCGTCGTGTATCTGGAGGGGCGAGGTGAGAATAAGTAAGAAGTTCTATTTTTCATTCAAAAACCATTTAATTTCCTTGCTGGGCTCTCCTTTAGAGGCTTGTATCAATTTTGCCGCAGGAACTAAACCGTTATGGAGACTGAGCCACTTTATGCTGCTTGCTTCATCTTGATGGTTGTGGTAACGTGCTGTATTATCAAACTCCTCCACATGGTAAGAAAAATGCAGGCACCAGGGAATCAAGGAGCTGTTACAAATCCCACAAGAACTGTTCAGGATCAGAATGCCTTAGGAACAGCTAGGGAACCCACTCCTCGTCGTAGCGGAGCCGTGGAAAGGACGGAACATCACGGATATACAATCGTCGGCGGTGTAACTGCAAGAAGACGACATCCACAAGAACAAGACGAGCGTTTTTCGTAAAAAAGTGAGACAATTGTATGATAATGCCTTTTTTATTTTTGTCATCGTACTTTCTATCATATTCTTCATCTCTTATATATCTGCACATGTTTTAGCGGACGCGGGACTGCCTCTTATAACCACTTTTATGGTTGGGCCGAACAAAACCAAATCTCTCCTTGGTTCGGTGCCCTAAATGTGCGTGAGTTATACAGAATAACTGAAAACGCATTTAAACAATTCAGTGTCCCACGGCCTCACCGCAACGATTGAACATATGAAGACTTTTTAGCTTTTTATAAAATATGAAAGATTGGAAAAGTGCATTGTGACATTTCAAAAAAATTTACTCTTTCTCTCACCAGGTAATTCTAAGCAGCCACTGCGTTCCTGTGCGTGACGGCATTATCCCGAGTATAAAACGACACTACTGCATGCACACATTTGCGGTCATTCAAATTTAGATCTAATGCGTGCCTTTTTTTGAGAAGCCCATTGACGACATCATCTGATGGGTCCAGATTTTTTGTTTAATTTTGTCATGGAATGTAGCCCGGTTGAAAATGATTCATTCTAGAATATTACACTTTACAAAATAACTGAGCAAACAACCTATTGTTTATTGTAATCCATAGAGTAGTACTTGGTGGTTCAAATACCACCAAGTTAATTCTTAACTCACCTCAAACAAATAGTCGGTTTTAAAAGGGAAGCAGAATAACTAGCTGTATTGAAAAGGCTCGAGTTGCAATGTTTTCTATCTTGACTAACTTTGTCAAAAACACGGTAAGAAAAAAAAATTATACCTGCACTCGAGCTTACGATACACAAACACGGGTTAAATTTGTATATTTCAGCTAGTGCATAATCAGTTTTGTCAGTCAAGTTCGCGACCAAATATTCCTCATCATTTAAAATGGCCACCGTTGATCTTCCAGGTCGCGGAAAACCTTTGCAGGTAAGCAGATAGATAGTTTGGTCCATCGCCATAAATAGATTTATTTTATTTGGGTTTACCTATCCCGTATAATTTGAACATCGGTTTTCTCTCCATGTGATCAGTTTCTATTTCCTAACCAATAGGGTGGACGATCGATGTTTCGGTTAATTTTTTGATTTTTTCCATCAAAGAATTGCAAATCACCCACTTCCTCGAGAAAACGATGAATAACATTATTTCAAAAAAGGTAAAAGAAATTAATCAGTCAGTTTTAAACTCCTTTTTCTCCAATTTCCTGTGCTGCTCCGTCAAGCTACTCCTATGGCCAGTTTTTTAGATGTTGAAAATAACTTAAATTATCGTTCGATAACATGTGTATATATTTTCAGTCACTACTTTAAATATACACAATCCAAAGCAAGCAGAAATAAACAGCAAACAATCAATATACAATTTTAATTGTACATTTGCATCTCAACAGATCTGTTCCAAAGCTGACCTTTTTACATCATGTATCCGTTTTCAACATTCATCATGTCAGAGAGGAGAAAGAAATATAGTGACATTAGCAGATACAAGATTTGAGTGCGCGTGGCTGCTCACATTGTTATCCATTCATGTCAATCAGGGTCTCAAGGACATCTCAGCTTGAATTCTTTGAGTTTTCGATATATTTCCTTAATCGTTAGATTTTTTTGGATGTCTGTGATGTATCCATTAAACTTTGTTTCACGAAAATGATGGTCTTATTCATTGTGTCAAAAATTCCAATTAGTTAAGGTATCGATATAGTACGTTGATGACGTTCCGTGACTACAACCAAGTTCGGCCAGAAGTGAAATTCCTAATTAAAAGCAGCAGACGAGTTGTTTTGGCTACGCTATGCTTCCAAAACAAAGGGCATGCTTTGGGTTACCCCATCCCACAAAATTAAGTGACAGGAGCGGAAGCCTTTCAGTTGTTTAAAGTGTCTTAAACAAAACAAAACTAAAACAAAGGGTATACTCTGGGTTACCCCATCCCACAAAATTAGTGACAGGAGCGGAAGCCTTTCAGTTGTTTAAAGTGTCTTAAACAAAACAAAACTAAAACAAAGGGTATACGTATACTCTGGGTTACCCCATCCCACAAAATTAGTGACAGGAGCGGAAGCCTTTCAGTTGTTTAAAGTGTCTTAAACAAAACAAAACTAAAAAAAAGGGTATACTCTGGGTTACCTCCTCCCACAAAATTAAGTGACAGGAGCAGAAGCCTTTCAGTCGTTTAAAGTGTCTGAAACAAAACAAAACTAAAACGAAGGGTATACTATTGGTTACCTCCTGCCACAAAATTAAGCGACAAGAGCGGAAGCCTTTCAGCCATTTAAAGTGCCTTTAAATATGTTAGTCAATTTTCCATTTTATGTCCCTCTCTGGCCCGGTATTTTTTGGCTACTTTTTTCATAATGATTTTAAGAGAACAGATGATCAAAGAAAGCCAATAGCAGGTTGAGCATCATTCTGTTGCTCGGGTCGCTGATACCGGATACAATTAAATAGTTTTGCGAAAAACTTGAAAGTCACACATCCGCAGCTTAGAAGCTTAATTGGCTATAAACAAAAAATTCCTTAAGCTCTGAAAACCTTAGACAACGAAATTAACAATTAATTTGCTTACAATCATAGCGTAAATCGAATGTGTCATGCGAATCTAATCAGGGTAACTGAATAATTATCAGGCACGCCAATATTACCATACTGAACTTAATGAAGGTAGGCAACACCTAGATCGTATAAATAATAAATTATTGAATAGAAATTTGGTTGCATTTTTAAACGTTGATTATCCAGTTGATTAATAAGGATTAATACTTCATGGAAATTTAAATTATAACGCGGTCTTCGAATTCGGTTTATGTAGATCTCTGTGGTCTGTTATATTTATTGCGTGTTGTTTGATCTCCATGTGAGTCCCATCTATTGCCCCAAGACATTGTGGAATAACATGAGCTTTTTTTTTGTGCCACCAGTTTCTTCATTTCATTCTCTGTGAAAGGAAGTTTTATGTTCACTGGGCCCAGATGCCAAATTATTGCAGTGCATACCACCCTGACAATTTTAGAGACAACTTGTCAACTCGCTCTTCGCGGCGTTGAAAAATTTCTAGCTGGTCGTTCAAAAAGATCATCGGCAGAGTAATAATAGTTACTATCATTTCAGATTCAATAGTTGGACTGCACCCTCGCTAAACTTCTATTTCCTAACTCCATGAACTGGCAACGAATCGCCGGTGCTGCATCCATTAAACGCAAATTCTTGTGCTTCAAATGAAGTATCGTTCAACTCGCCTCGTTTCGCATTTTCTCTCTCCTTTCGGCATTGAAGTTGATGATCTATTAGCTTGTCCGACGGACACAGTTCCTCACATATTTAACATGGTAATACTACAACGATGCTTTCGCTTTCGTGGGCCAAATTTTTTTCCGCTTTCGTCGGCGCTCGAGGCCGTCTGATCACTTGACCTCCCGTCTGTTTTTACGAAAGCTTTTCGCTCGTTATCCATTCTTATTTCTGAGAGATTCATTTACGCCACTTGGTAATTTTAAAACGCAAATCTCGCTGTTGTTATTGGTGGAAATGCTCAATCAATAGCTTTTAGCGATTTTCTTCTGATCCGCTTTCGACATTTTTAAGGCTTCTAATGATCATAAATAGTTATGGGTTAGACGGGTCTATGTTACAAATACACACGAGGCACTGATTTCTTTCTGAAAGTTTCCTCTTCTTGTAAACTCTTACATTAATTAATCACTAATCTTTAACTCGTCATCTCCAGTAAATGCTGAGATTTTCGATTTTCCTTCAGTAGGAGTTGATAACTAGGTTAGATGACATTCTTTATCAGTCGCTAGCCAGGATTTAGCCGTACCCTCTTTCCAATTCGTTTCTCTTGAGGGAGGTGGGGGGAAGGCTACGGCTACCCGTAGGCTGATCAGCCGCTTGCGCAAAAATTTATTTTGACACCTACTTTTGTCTTTTAACGCTTAGCGTGTTAACCAAAGCGGCCTGCCTCGCAAGAGAATAACTACCATAAACAAATAATATTTCGTGTTAAACAACCCGAGGTTTACAGCTGCCGACCGTTTTCTTAGTGTACCAAAATCCTTTTAAACCGAATCCAAGAAAACAAAAAATGAACGCCGGCATCAAAATTAATCAAACCTTTGCAAAAACAAATTACGCACATAGCGGGAAAGTGCGGATTCTCTTACGATAACCGTCTTTAGTGAGCCAGGTAATTTTGGACTTCCAACACGACGTCGTCTTGTAGCGCCATACTGTTGCAAACTTTCCGCTTCGGAGTCGGGTACAATTTTCAATTAAATACGGAGCAAATTCAAAATACTGTCAGGAAACTGTAAAATGACGAACGACAGATGTATTTACCGTAAAACAGTTGACTATATGTCCAGGATGGCTCTTGAGAAAGACGATTTTAGGAGATTTTCAGTAATCTAGGAATTTCGTGTTACAGGAAATAGGTCGAGGCGCGCGTTGCACTAAGGATGAAAATGGGTTTTTAAAGAGAGAACCGCGCTCAGACTTGTAAGATCACCTTGATTACGACTGAGGTGAAAAATTATAAAGAACAATAAAAACTGGCCTGAGTTGAATTTCCACCAACACAGTTCAGAAAATTGAAAGTAAAACGACCGTGATCTGACTTACATACCAGCACAAGCTATACAACGGAATATAGTCCTATTATCTGCTAAAAGACATTTTCCCTCTAAGCTCCCTCACGTCGATAACTAAGTAGTAGTTTTATCGCGCTCAGCGAAGATCGATCCATGTAAAGGCTAATCTCAGTTTCACGTTCTACGCATCAGAGCGTACACGAAACGACACTGCTAAAATATAAATATCAAATGAACCAGTTCCTACTAACAAAGAAAGCATATTCTATCGGTTTATATTACCACTTGGAGAAAAAGGGAAAAAGGAAACATTTGTAAATCACTCGCTTCCGGCTCGTGATTTACAATCTTCTACGCGTATATATAGTTTGGTCCATTTATTGTCCTTGAGTTTACCGGTGCAGTGCAATATATATGTATATCGGTTTTCTCACGATGTGACCTCAGTGATCGCAGTGAAACTGATGTATAATAGTTTTCTTTCCTTCTGACCTCTTTCTATTTTCTAATCAGTTCGGGCGGTCGATTGATGTCTTGTTTTTTAGGCAATGATCACGCGAATCTTTTAATTGTCATGACGCAGTGCCATATACAACTAAAACAATTGCATCCAAGGCTCATTGAGTAGATCACTTCTACTTGGTTCCTTTCACGGACAGAAGCTCCATCTACTGCTTTGGATAGACGACTTCAATCAGAGATTTACAGTTTAGTACTATGTCAGTAATTGAGATCGTGAGCCTAGCCTGTCTTTTTATTTTGTTCTTAACAATGTTTTTCGTCGTCAAGAACCACTTTGTCTTGATGCAGTTGGGGCGGCAACGAGCGGACGGTGCCATGATGGATGTACAAGACAAAGCGAGCCCGACAGCTAATACACGTCTACAACCTAGAGTGGGTGAGATGGCTCCCATAGGGATGCATGTTATACCGCATCAGAGAGGAGTTTTGGAGACAGAAGAAAACTACATCGGGACAGCGATCGGTATACGGCGTATGGCTGTGGAGCCAAGTACATTTTTCCATCAAAGAATTGCAAATCGCCCACTTCCTCGTGAAAACGATGAATAACTCATTTCAAAAAGGGTGAGAGAAATTACTCAATCTGTCCTATACTTCTTTTTTCCAATTTCCTGTGCTGCTCTTTCAAGCTACTCCTATGGCCAGTTTTCTAGATGTTAAAATACTCATTTCATCGCTCGATAAGATATTTACATTTTTAATCACTGCTTTGAATATACGCAATCGAAAGCAAGCAGAAATAAATCACACACAATAACACAGAGAGATCATGCAATCATTTTAATTGCACATTTTTATCCCAACAGCTCCTTTTTAGAGGTGACCTTTTTACATCAAGATTCGTTTTTAACATTGTTCATGTCAGAGAGGGTAAAGGAATTTACTGACATCAGCAAATAAAAGATCTGAGTGCACGTGACTGCTCTCATTGTTATCCAATTATGTCAAATAGGGTCTATAGAACATCTCAGCTTGTATTCTTTGAGTTTTCTATATATTTCCATGATCATTAAATTGTTGTAGATACCTGTAATGTATCCATTAAACTTTATTTCACGAAATTGCCGGTCTTATTCATTGTTTCATAAATTATAACTAGTAGGGGTAAGTTAAGTTATCGATATCGCTGTTTTCGGTTTATTTAGATCTCTATAATGTGTTATAATTATTGCGGGTTGTTTGATCTTAATGTGAGTCCCGTCTATTGCCCCAAGACATTGTGGAATAACATGAGCTTTTTCAGATTGAGCCGCCAGTTCCTTCGTTTCATTCTCTGTGAAGGGAAGTTTTATGCTCACTGGGCCCAGATGTCAAGTTATTGCAGTGCATACCTCTCCGACAATTTAAGAGACAACTTGCCAACTCGCTCTTCCCGGCGTGGAAAAATTGCTTCGCTAGCTGGTCGCTCAAAAGGATCGCCGGCAGAGTCATTAGTGTTACTATCATTTCAAGTTCAATAGTTGGACTGTACCCTCGCTGAGCTTCTGTTTCCTAACTCCATGAACTGGTAACGAATCGCCGGTGCCGCTGCATTCATTAAACGCAAATTCTTGTGCTTGAAATGAAGTATCTTTCAACTCGCTTCGTTTGGCATTTTCTCTCTCCTTTCGACATTGAAGTCGATCTATTAGCTTGTCTGACGGACACAGTTCCTCGTATATTTCACACGGTAAAGCTATAACAATGTTTTCGCTTTCGTGCGCCAATTTTTTTCCGCTTTCGTCGGCGCTAGTGGCCGCCTGATCGCTTGACCTCCCGTCTGTTTTGACGAAAGCTTTTCGCCCGTTATCCATTCTTGTTTCTGAGACTTGGTAATTTTACAACGCAGATCTCGTTGTTGTAATTGTGGAAATGCCCAAGCGCTATAACTGATCTATTAACGATTAAACTTTTGATCCGCTTTTCTTTGTCAGTCATTTCAGGTCTTCTAATGTTAATATATTAGACGGATTTCTTTTTCAAATATACACTAGGCTTGGATTTCTTTGTGAAGTAGTAAACCGGTTAAATCTTCTCTTATCTCTAAACCCCATCTAAAGCAAATGCTTAGATTTTCCTTCAATAGAAGTTGTTTATTTTTTAGATCATTGGATGACTTCGTCAGTCGTCTGCGTAATAGTCAAATTTGGCACCCGCTTTGACCTCTTTGCTTTTTCATGCTTCCGACTGCTTTACTCACGCTTTGTACGTTAACCAAAACGGCCCGCACCACAAGATATAATTACGGAAAACAACACATCGTATTTCGGGTTAAAATCAGCGTAGTTGACCGTACTCCAAGTCCTAGTCCAACTAAACACTTTAAAAACAAAATCTAATTTAAAAAATAGGTATGCTGGTATCAAAGTCATAAAACCTTTGAGAAAACAGATTACATTCACGACGCGAAAATGCAGGAGACATGAGTAACAATCACACCCAGAACTGATCAGTAGAAATTCTAACGTCGACAGCTGGGGCTCGATGAAATTCGACCGATGCTTCGCCTTCTACGGGTCTTCTACGCTTCGGAGCGCACACAAACTATTATCAGTTAATAGCCTATCGGCTTCGCAAGCAGGCTACCACTAACTATACAGGCTAACATATTATACTGATGTACAGTTTTGACATCGTACGTTTCAATAACCCTTGAACCTCTATCATGCTACTCCTGTAGCTAGTTTTTAGTTGTGCGTTGCAAAATAACTAATTTGTTTCTCCCGATGATGTGTTAATCATTCCGTTTTGAGTGTTTACATAATTTTTGCTTGTTTGGTAAACTAATTTGAGTTCAATTACACGCTTGTCGTAGCTTATATGATAAATAATTGACAAGTTTCGCGCGGTTTTTGTTCATTTTGACGATTTTGCTAAATTAGACAAAGGTTGTCGGCAATGTTTGAAAATTTGAAAATTTGTACCATTCTGCCAAGAACCGCTGGGTTGACCATTCTTATCAAAACTCTTCTCTTCGATCAGTTTGCCACCACAATTGATTGGGCCTTTGCCTATAAACACAAACCCTCGTGTATCTGAAGGAGCGAGAGTTAATGAGTTAGTGAAGAGTTCTATTTTTCATTTAAAAAAAAAAACATTTAATT